GTTGGGCAATCCTACTTCCATAGTGATACTGCCTCGGAAACCCAAGGAGGGGTCGTTATGAGTCGGGGCCGACTCGACGGCACATAACAATATATTAACTTGGTTAATCCTTATAATAACCATATAAGGCAGATACCATTATTATTCCCATTGTGCATATGTGTAAAGTGAGGCACAGATGATGAGCAAACTAAGGTAAAGATCAAGTTAGAATCAGTGAAAATAATTGGCTTTCTATAAGTTCTTATTTAATAATGTAATATTTATAGCTGAAAGGAAGTTTAGAGCTTATTTATTTTGTATCTTATTTAACATATTTGCTTGTTGCATGCCACACACTGTTTCTAAGTGACTAAACACACATATCACACTTAATTCATCCTTATAACAACCTTATGAGGTACTATTATTGTGCCCATTTCAAAGAAGAGTTAACTGAGATACAGATAGATTAAGTAGTTGCCTAAGGTCACAGAGCTAGTAATGGTTGGGTTTGGATTAACAATCCAAGCAGTCTGGCTCCACAGACAGTGCTCTTACCACCATACTATCTTAACTCCTATTTCCTGTCAGCTAAAACAGAGGTCAAAACTGGTGACTCACAGACCAAATGCAGCCTGTAGATGTATTTTATTTAGCCTATGGAATGTTTCTTTAACATTTTCTATTATTTAAAAATCAGGAGAATAAGGCAGCCTTGACTTCTAATTCTGGATCCACCAGTCCATACTGTCACCCTCATTTTACACTTTAAAAAAAAAATGAGGGACCTGGATTTGAAAAAAGGTTAAATGAAATTTAAAGTTGCACTTAGAGTAAAGGCCATAAGGAGCTCTGGTGGCATAGTGGGTAAGGCATTTGGCTGCTAACCAGGTCGGTGGTTCAAACCCACCAGCTTCTCTGTGGTAGGAAGATGAGGCAATTTACTTATGTAAAGATTTGTACTCTTGGAAACTTAAGGAGCATCAGCTGTGAGTCAGAATCGACTCAGTGGCAGTGGGTTTATTTTGATTTGTTTGATACTGAAGGGCATGCCTTTTCCATTACAACTGAATTAACAGGTTTGAGTTTTAATATGACTAAAAATGTAATATTAAAGACCTTACAGCTCTCTAGGAATAGCACCTGATGTCTTCTTCCCAATGTCAGGTTAGAGCTGAAGCCAAAAGTGGTATTTTTGTTCCATAAGTCTTGGAGTTTGAATACTGTCACTTGCTAGCTAGGAGACTAGTGCAAGTTACCTAATCTCAGTCTTACATATATACTTGTGCTACAAAAATATCCATATGCTGTACAGAAGTAACAAGGGACAAGGTTGAAGTAGCTTCTCAGAGACAACCAAACCCCTTAAGGGAGAGAGTCATAGGGCCTGCAGGCTCTGGACCATAGTCTTAGGGGACACCATGCTAAATTGGCACAACATAGTACACAAAAATCTTGTTCTACATCTTACTTTGGTGAGTAGTTTAAAAGCTATCGAGTAGCCATCTAAGATACAACTATTAGCCTCCCCTTGTCTGGAGCAAAGAAGAGTAAAGAAAATCAAAGTCATTTGGAAACATTAAGTCCAAAGATATGATGGACCACAGGGACCTCAGTCTTCATGACCCTGAGACCAGAAGAACTAGATGGTCCCCACCTACCAATGCCAACCACTTGGAAAGGTTTAAATAATATGGTACATGAAGAGCATGTATCACATTTCACAACATATTGTAAGAGCTCATTAAATACTAACTTATTATTACTATTGTTAATGAATATATAAGGGTTCTCTTTCACTCAGAATAAGAGGATTGGGCCTTTAGACAGGGAGGAAAGGAATAATATTCATTTTTTTTTTAAGTTGAGGTAAAATTCACATCACTTAAACATAGCCATTTTAAGGTGTACAGTTCAATGACATTTAGTACATTCAGTGTTGTACAACTTATCACATCTCTCTAGTTCCAAAACATTTTCATCATCCCCAAAAGATATTTTATACCCATTAAGTATTCACTTCCCATTCTCCTTTCCCCTCTCCCTCAGTCCTGGAAACCAGTAATCTGTGTTCTGCCTTGATGGATTTACCCATTCTGTATGCTTCATATATATGGAATTATACAATCTGTGTTCTTTTGTGTCTGGTTTCTTTCATTTAGCATAATGTTTTCAACATTCATTCATGTTATTATGTGTATCGGTACTTAATTCATTTTTATGATTGAATAATATTCCATTGTTTGGATATGCCACAATTTGTTTATCTATTCACCAGTTGATGGACATTTGGGTTGTTTCCTCTTTTTGGCAATTCTGAATAATATGGCCATAAGCATTTGTGTATAAGTATTTGTTTGAATACGTTTTCAATCTTTTGGTTATATACTTGAGTGGGCTGGGATTGCTGGGCAATGTGATAATTCTGTTTAACTTTGTGAGGAACCACCCAACTATTTTCCACAGCAGCTGCACGATTTTACATTCTTGCCAGGAATGTACGAGACTTCCAATTTCTGCACATTCTCATGAAAACTTTTTATTATTATTATTATTATTATTGTCATAATAGTGGGTGTGAAATAGTGTATCATTGTGCTTTTGATTTGCATTTCTTTAATAAGCATCTCTTCAGTACTTGTTGGTCATTTGTATATCTTTGGAAAAATGTCTATTCAAGTATTTTGCCCACTTACTTAGTTGGGTGGTTCATGTCTTAGTTGTTGAGTTTTAAGAATTATTTATATATCCTGGATACTCAACCCTTATTAGATATATGATTGGCAAATATTTTCTTCCATTTTGTAGATTATCTTTTTACTTTCTTGTTAGTATCCTTTGATGTACAGAAAGTTATCACTTTAATAAAGTCCAATTTACTTATTTATTTAAAATTGTGTTGCTCGTGCTTTTTGGTATCATAGCCAAATCAAAAGTCATGAAGATTTTCTCATACGATTTCTTCTAGGAGTTTTATAGTTTAGCTATGACATTTAGCTTTGATTCATTTTAAGTTAATTTTTGTATATGTTGTGAGATAAAGGTCCAACTTCATCTTTTCACATATGGATATCCAATTGTCACAATTTTTTGAAGACACTAGTCTTTCTCCATTGGATGGGTTTGACACCCTTAATTGAAAATCAATTGACCATATATTTAGAGATTTATTTCTGGACTCTCAATTATATATTTCTGATAAGAATCAGAATGAATCCAATGTCCTAAATGTGGAGATTGACCTAGTCCCC